ATTCGGGAGAATAAACCAGTTTTATTTAAGAAAGGACTTGTGTCGCTAAAGTTTCGTCGGAACGAATTTACGGAAAATCAATTAACAAACGGAGACGTAACAATACAATCTTACATACTGTAGATAAATATATCTTGGAAACTTACCACGATAAAACTGCTCCATTAATTCAGAGACAATTACATACGTATTTGTGGTATATCTGGAAGAAAACAAATGATAAAATACAGCGGTACAGGGATGATACTGTGTATTTATTATCCACCCCCTCCCCTAGTTAATTTGTAAATGCTTCAAAATTTCTATTTTTCTTTCAGTTTAATTTAAACAGAGATAGTCAGTCAAGTAAACATGTATAATTATACGAGTATATCATGTATTTTACACTATCTTTAGTGACGTAGAAGTTTTCAAAATTTTCATGTAGTTTGTTTCTATGCAGTTTTGGCATAAAACATTTAGTCCAGAAAATCGTCGAAGTTTCTCAGTTCTAGCATTGTTTTGTGTCTTTATTTTTCTCTCATATCAGATGACACCCACTTTGCCCACGAAAATGTTGTAGCATACTTTCGATGGCCGTTCGGGTAATGCCTGTAAGTCCCAATCAACGAATGTTATGGGAGAGTGACTGGTAACATTATGATGCTATCACAAAACAAAGAAACTCGGGTTTTCTGTATCAGTATGAAGCTTTAGTTTCTAGGAATTTTACTTGGCTATCGTCGTGAATGGTTCTGCAGAGATTCAGCATGAGAGATGAAAAGCTGAATATCTAGTCACTAATCCAGTAGGGGCGGTTGTCGATTTATCTGTGTAGGTACACACATTGTTTTTTTCTCTCTATAAATAAGACTGTTCCCACGTCCATCAGATTTGTTAAATTTGTATATTTATCAAACAACTCAGACAAATTTTCAGATTCGGATTGCTCCCTAATTTCATTTTCAACTCTGCTGTTATTAAGTAGACCTATCTAATACTTGTATGGAAATCATTTTATCTGAGAATACTACAAGTAGATAGGAAGGTAAATTTTTGGTGCTGTGACAACAGGATTTATTGTGGAGTTTCTGTTTTGATAACGAGCCTTCTAGCCCTTACCTGTTCTCTTGTGTTTATTGAGTTTAAAGTAATGCTTTTGCAAAAGTAATGACTTATTTTGGATGCAGAAATACTCGTAACAACCAATAGGGAGAGTTCATTAATGGAGAGAGATATTTGTACAAGAGAGATGTCGAGTCCAGAAAAAATCCTCTCTTGGATATAGGACTTTTGCTGATGATACGAAGGCCCTTGACACTGGCCAGACTGCAACTGGAACAAATTATAGCCCCTGAGAATAAATCTCAACAGAAGAGAAACATGGATGACTGAGAGTATTGAAGTGGAATGGTGTCTTGTGAGTCTAAAACTGTGTGAGGAAGTCTACATAGGATTCACAGGCTGTCACCAATCAGAGTACAATGCTGGTGGTGATCTCTGGCAGAATAAATAACGATCATCCACAGGTGAACACTATGAACAATGGGGAGATGTTGTTTGCTGGTGAAATGAATGTGTGAGAGCTCACTGTGTCCATGAATGGGTTAACCCTGATGTCTCCAGGAGTTGAGATGCTGATGCCAACGACTGCAGACCCTGATGCCCCTAAAATGCCTGAAGAAGACCCCACCATTTTATCACTGACCCAGTCCACCCTGGAAGAGTCTACCCTCCAAGTGACTCAGTGGCTGGAGTCCTTGCTGCTGTTTATGCAACTAAAGAGATGAAAATCGAGAAGTGATGGGGCCTAGTGACTTGTTCTATTATAGTATTTATCAGTACCACGAGGATGGTACGGCAGGTGTTTTGTCACATCTGATTGAATCACTACATTTCAAAGTCAAATAAAGAGCTTTCAGGAACTAGGTTCATCCCGAGGGGCATTCAAGTCTCAGGTATACAAGGGCAGGGCAGATCCCAAGAAAACTCTGGCACTAGGGTAATGGCCATGAAGACAATCCAGTTGGATCATGGACCAGTTCTTCAGCTGTCAACAAGGGAGCCTTCACATCACGGGATGGACGACTTCGCTAAAACTATGCTGCCAACACCTCATAAGTACCACCTGTCAAGAGACCCTGGAAATTCAAGCTACCCAATATTATAACAAACCGCCCAAAGTCAGAGCAGATCTCAGTTCACTAGCTGGACTGAGGCGTGAGCTCTTTAATACGAAAAGGATGACTGGCTGCAGCAGATGGCAATCCCCCCCGTGGTGCCTGCGGGCCAGACTTTCAGACGCAAAGAGGGCCCTGTTCAAGGCTCAATAGAATTTACAAGCCCCAGTAACAGTCAAACACAAAACCATCCAGCCCTGCTGAAAGGTTTGAGGTGAGTGGGAATGAAGTCAAAGTGAGTGTAAATTTGACATACAGTTATTGTATTATATTTAATTTAGAGTACCCTCCGCACGTGTAAGTGTATGTGGAAGACTGGGACCTAATAGTTTTTTCTGTATTTTATGTTTGAAATGACAATGCCCTCGCTCTTTCATGCAAGCGAGAGTGTGAGAAAGAGCAGAGATTTGACAATTTTTGTGTATATTTATTTTCTTTTAGTATGTATTTGGTACATTCAATGTCCCACTGTCTGATTCTATATAATAGCGCGCGCAAATGGAAAGTTGTTTTTATTTTATTATTCTGTTATTTTTATATTTTGATTTTATGTAAATATGTTTGATTTCTTTTTATGATATTGATTCTAACTAGTGGTTTATGGCAATTGCTGACTTTTAAACTCTACACAGAAATTAATGCATCATGTATTCACATCGGAATTCAATGCGATCAGGCCAGTTACCAACTTCAATGTGTTGTAACTGGTACTTCTAATAAATAGTGTATATGATGAAAAACTTGACTTATCTGCATTACGTATATTCTTAACGTTTACTTAGTATACCTAGATTGTACGTGATGCTTTAATATAATTTTCACAGGTTCGATTTGGCTCTCTGAAAACTTAGTTTTAATGGGTATTAGGGAGTAACTTTGGGATGCTGGAATTTTCTTATCCGAGGGTGCAGAATCTAAAGTTCAGTAGACCTCAAAACATCCCTGCACCAGTCCCTGTTATCGGAATGCTTTGAATTTTGTTACGTTCAATATTTTTTGGTTATTTGTTATATCTACCCTAACTTTTACTTATATTTATTAATAGCTTCCACTTCATTATATTAATTCTTCAAGGTTAGTAATATTCATCACTTATTTGTCTTTCACCATAATACGATCTTGAATTTTCTTCATATGCCATATTATTTGCAGTATGAATTTACTTTAATTGCTCGTAACTTTTCTCTATATTTTAATATTAGATAACTTATTTTGACCCTTTAATAACTCTGATATTCTACCTTTTAAGTTGATCCACAATACGGTATATATTTCATATTACCTTGTTATCTACGATATTTAGATTTCAGTTATAACTGAATTATTCGTTTGAATACTGTAAATTTTATTTCAAAGTAGAAATCACCATATTTATTCTTCAACATTGCTAATTTTATTTACACTCCATGTCATCGACATTTGACCACCCAAAGACATTTTATTGGATCTACGTTTCACACTACTTGAATATTTGCTACATTCGACTTTCAAATGACCGTCATCTTTATTTATACGTTTTTCGATGTATTTAGCTTTTAAACGATCTTCAGTTTTACCCACATTTCTAACGATAGTTTCTTTGGAAATATTTTCGAATTTTGAAATCATTTAATGTATTGTTGTAAGCTATATTTCAAATGTTCCAATTTGTCAGTTAACAAGAAGGAGAGCTGCAGATCATAATGACTTAGATACATAAAAACTTAGATACACACGGATGTCATATACTTATGTTACGTTACTGGTCATTTTTATCACCCAAGTTATATGGCTTTAAAAAAAAAACATCAGTGAATGTGGCAACATGTACACCCAGTGTAAAAAACTGCCAGAGAAGGTATATGTACACCCAGTGCCAAAAACTGCCAAAGAAGGTGACATGTACACCCAGTGTAAAAAACTGCCAGAGAGGGTGACATGTACACCCAGTGTAAAAAACTGCCAGAGAAGGTATATGTACA